CCGCAAGATTACTAAGTCAAGCTTGTTGAAGATCAAGATTGCTTGGATAATTTAGTTTAGGTTTTATATTATGTGTGTTAGTACTTTAAGCTCAATCATACACACACATACACGTTTTGGTTTTTCTATGTATATATATAGTCGTATATATACATACATGTTTTGGTTTCCAAGTATATATAAATATGAAATTACATCCTTCATATTTATTGTTTTGGTTTTTCAAGTTTAAATATTAAAAAATTGAATATAATTGGAAAATATATTTTTGTTTCATGTTTATATGCTTATATGTGATTTTATCAATATTAAGTTTATATTTAATAAAATCATATTTATTGTTTTTGAAAAGTTTGCAAAAATATGCAATTTTGCGAAAGTATTGTATTCTCAGTTTTTGGACTTAACAATAATCATGTACATCTTTTATTAAGTCTATATAATCATTTTGTAATGTTTTAAAACATGGTTAAGCTAAAATGTCAAAGCTCATGTGTTCACATTTTCATGTTTTGGACTATTTTGCAAAATGATGATATTTCTCTTTTGGAAGGTCCTTTCTAAAAACCAGTTTTTGTAGCATGTGTATTATCATGTCTACAATCATTTTCTAAAGTTTTACATTTTTCTGAATTCATTTGATATTTTTAAACAGGGTTTTAAAATCAAAAAACTATTTCAAACCTGGCAATTGCATATATCTGTTTGCGGTCGACCGCCATGGTCGACCGCCCCTGAGTCCATAGACTCAGTATGTTTCTTGATGGCTCACGGTCGACCATGACGGTCGACCGGATGCAGTCCAGAGAGTTTCGCGGTCGACCGCCACGGTCGACCGTCTGTTGTCCAGAGCCCTTTCTTCATTTCTGTGCTGCTCGCGGTCGACCGCAAGTTTTCCACAGTCGACCACAGAACTATCCATTGCACTCCAACGGCTAGTTCCAGCTGTGTTTTTCTGTGGGCTTTTTGGTCAGTTTTGTGGTGGTTTTGCTAAAGTTTTGAGTGGGTATAAATACCCCATTACCTTCAGCTCTCCTACATACAATGAGAATAATTTAAACAAGTTTAACAAGGGTTTTAAAGTTTGTTTTGTGTGTTTTAAAAGAGTTTTGTTTGTGAAGAATGTTTCACAAGTGGAGGAGATCATCTACATTGTTTGGACTTCATCTTAATCCATCTCTCCATCTTGTTTTTTCAGAGAAGAATTTCTAAACTCATATCTAGCTTTACATTTACATATTTGTTTTATTATCATTCTTTAAAGCTAGTTTTTACATTGAGTTTAAATTTAATAAATCTTATTGTCACACACACCCACATTGAGCTTATAGTATTTACCTATATAGTATAATTGGGGTTGTGAGAGTTTGCAACATTGATTTGTGCTTAATTGAGTTCTCATCCATTGTAGAGAACAACTATTGTTATATTGTGAGATTGTAAGGTTTTCGGTAAGCTAGAAAACCGAGTGAGAGTGTGAGGTGTGAACGTTGATCGGTGACCGTTAAAAACCAATACTGTGAGGTTGATGCGGCATAATTATGTACCAAAATTGCAAGTGCACAATTGATCAAGTTATAGTATAAAAAGTTATCGATCCCACGAGGAAGATGATTTTAAGAGATTATTAGAATTGGTTCTTATGTTTTGTGCGTGACAAAATAGGATTAAAGAATAAGGGTGATTGTGGAGAGAGATATGATGAGTGGTTGTTTTGATTTATGTGCAAGTAATAATAAATTGAATTTTAGAGAAAATAAATAAGAATCAAAGAATAAATGAAATCACAAGGCAAGAAAGAAGAAAGAATAAAATCAAGAAATAAAATCAAGAATAAAAAGAAAAATTAAAGAAAGTCAAGATGGAGGATTCAATTAAGATATGAGAAATCTAGAATTTAATCCACTAACTCAAATATAAAATACAAACTATTCTATTTTTATCATATTTCAACTTAGATTTATTAAGCATAGACTATCAAACCATTTAAGGGAAGTATAACCTATCAAATTATCATTTAAGTTAAAATTACTATTCATGATAAAAATAACAACAAAATAGTAATCCTAGAATTCATAAGCATAACCTATCAAACCATTTAAGATAAGCATAGATTATCAAATTCTTCTTCTACCGATTAGTTCACTAGTTGATTATTCTAAATATGAATATTTTAAGTGTAAGAGAATAATTTGCATAATATAAAGGAAATTAGATTAGCATCATACAATTCTAAGATTCCTACAAGAATTAATTTCTCATCTTAAGAAATAAAAACAAGAAAAAGAACTAATTACAAATATTAAAAGAAAATAAAAATCTAAACTATGAACAAGAAATAAATCTAACTATAAAGAATTAAAATCTAAACTACAAAATATATTACAAAAATTAAATGCAAGAAAATAAATCTACTCTACAAATTAAAGTGCAAAAAGAAATAAAAATATAAGAAAATAAATCTACACTACAAGCATGAATGTATATCTAACTAATAAGCAATAATAAAGAAATACTAAAAAGAAATAAAAGAGAAAAATAAAAGAAATACAAACCTTCAAATTGCTCTTCATCTTCATCCTCATCATTCAACATAGAGGAGAAAAAACAAATTTAAAGTGGATAAAAATTATTATTATTAATTGCAACAAAAGTTACAATTTTTGGAAGGCCTTATCAATTAAGAGTAGCCCTCCTGTCCAAATGGAGTTACAAAATTTTTTACACCCCTAACCCCTCACTCTCTACCCCTATTTATAGTAAACATCAGTGGATGAGAGCCGTTGGATCGAAATCTTATCCAAAAACATCAAAAATAAGCCATATATTCGTAACTAACTGTACGTCGTATCGATGCCAGCATCGATAGGGGTATCGATGCTGGCATCGATATCGATGCTGGCATCGATATCGATGCTGGCATCGATGCCAGCTCTTCTCTGGTTGTTGTCCGGACTTCTTTCTTCTTGTGGGCTTTGGGCTTGGACTATTCGACAATTCTTTGATTCTTCATTTATTTGGTTTGGGCTTTGGCATTTCTTGGGCTTTACTTCTTCTTCTTACCTTGGGCTTTTGGATAATTTGGAAATTGATTTTCCAATTAGCTTCTTTTCTTCATTTCTTCATTTAATCAACGGGTTTTTGTTGAGAGATGGGAGTTTGAGATTTATTCTTCATTAACCTGCAATTAAAGATAAAAACAATTATTAGTGGTATATTTATTCATACAAAATAGATAATGAGGATATAAAACTGTAATAAAATGTGATTATCAAATACCCCCATACCTAAACTCTTGCTAGTCCTCTAGCAAAGAAAATAAAAAGAAAATTCTAACTCACTTTTGTAGGAATCGCGGTTGTATTTAGCGCATACAACAAGCCTTTAAACCCCTAGGTTACCCTGTAGGCGTATAAAATTGCTTATAGATCCCTTAGGACAGCTCGGCACAAACCGACGAACCAACGAGGCGAGGAGATCGACGAATCGCACGGAAGCGACGGAATGCATCCCTACGCGTTCGGAATCAAGCCAAGTGTTAAGGAATCAACGAGTCATCCAACCGAGAACAGACTCGGATGAATCACGATCGAATCAAGATCAGTTTCGGACTCGAACTCAGAAGCGGATTTACTGCCAAATCAGGAATCCGACTTACTGCCAAATCAGATCAACCAATCAGAGTCTCAATCAACCGAATCACGGACAAAACCGGAAAACGGACACAACTCAAAAACTCGGAAAACCCACACCTAAGGGGGCTCGGCTTAAGCCGAGCCACCCATAGGTGGCTCAGCCAAGGCCGAGCCACCCATGGGTGGCTCGGCACAGTGCCGGTGCTGAAATCTGTCTTGCCTCATCCTCTCCTAGAAAATCATCTTGCTGAAATGGTGTGATAAAACTATGAAGCTCAGGTAGAGGTCCATCTGTATCTCCATGTTCTCTCTGCCATCCTCTCGCCAAATATGTCAGGGTCTCGGTGGAGTAGCTCATCTGACCATGTATGTCGTGTATATGTCGCTGCATCCTGTGCATCTGACTCTGCATCCTGTCCATGCGAATCTGCATCCTGTCCATGCGACTCTGCATCCTATCCATCTCCTCTCGAGTGGGGTCATGTGTAGCTGGCTGGTGCTGAGGAGGCTCTCTACCTGAAGGACCGGACTGATCTCGCCCTGAAATGCTCCTCCTCACAGTCAGATCATTTAGTAACCCCTTCCCTGCTTCTAACCTATCCTCTACGAATACTGGAACGTGAAATCTTTGGCAGAGTCTAGTGATAAAATAGGGGTAAATAAGCTGAGTACGTGATGCAAACTGTGTCCTGACCCAATCCAACACATTCTCCACTTATGAGCGCATCCATACAAATATAATCCTCGCTATATCAAATCGCTGTCCAGTGGCTATCCAAAAGAGAAGGAGAATATCGTGTGGGGTAATGACAGAGTATGCAGATGTGGGTTTCAAATCAAAGTTCAGGAAAAGATTAAGTAATCTATATTCTGGTTTGAGATTTCCTGAACCGAAACTAGATGTAAAGATCCTCCCACACAAAGTTACAGACATGTTATTGTATTCTGGTGTACCAGGCTGTAAAGTGGAGGCTAAATGGAAGTAATCTGGTACATCAGTGGGTGGTTCTGCAAGGTCAAGGGTGGCACGAATAGTGAAAAGATCGAAAATAACCCTAACACCCCTCACGATAGAAAAAGCTAAATATTCTCTATCTGGATTAATCTCCCATCCAGAATAGAACTCATGGACTAATGAAATGTTGGCTTTTTCTAGGGGTTTAGTCATCATGCTCCTAAGACCTACTGCAGTTAACATGCTGATTGTGGATTGATATGTATGTAATGCACTCATCTGAAAACCCCTCTCAAAATGAATGTTAAGACCCACAATTCTAGCTAAAATAGTAGGTAATGCACTCATCTGAAAACCCCTCTCAAAATGAATGTTAAGACCCACAATTCTAGCTAAAATAGTAGGTTTATCTAATCGGTATCAGATGGATCAGAAGATGATGAACTTGCTCGGGATTTCTTTCTGGGGGGTATCTACAAAAAAAGAAAATAAAAAAAACAAAAAAAACATTTTAAAAAAAATTTCCAATATATGTATTTTATTTTATTAGTAATAATATTATTTTTTTTTTACAAGAATTTAGCTACAACTTGTTCAACATGAGTTAATTTCAAGTTATCAGAATTTTGTTTTGACAATAAATTTCCTCAAAATTGTTCTTTTAGAAAAAAAATGTTAAAATTTTGATAACTTGATCGGTGAAATATACATGTTGAAATGACAATTATAAGCTAAACCGTGCACTTGTTGAATAAAATATCCGGTACAAATTTCCGAATGTGAGAAGTATCCAATTAGACTTTTAT